ACCGACAACTTATAAAACAAAACACTTCTATCTCCAACTTTTACAATCACTGATAAATTGATAATAATTTGAAAAAAGACCATATTTATTCCACATTCCCTTTTAATTTAATTTAATTTACAACTTTGTACTAAACAAAATATATGGTTAAATATATTCGTTCCTTTCGCTTCTTGTTCGGTTCGCTACATAAGCACAGCCTGTCCACATGCAAGTCACACGATTTGATAATCACAAACTCTGAATAAAACACATAAACTAATGCGATTCTGCACGCCATATAATTTTCCGATTTCCAAACATATATTATAATTAGTGAAGATTTAATTAATAGACTACTTACATTTCTTTTCCTCAAAAACCACAACTGCGTTGTCGCCATTCCATCTGCTAGCGTCTAAATCTACATCGCCGCCTCTTGACTTGCTGGATTGGAAATATATTATCAATCTTTCTAGGGTAATCTCAGCCGGTATATTGTTCACGTAAAGTGACCAGGGCATCTTTATTTCGCTCAAATAAGCATACTTAAAGTACGCTGCTACCGACCACAGTGCATATTCTCACAGTAACTGCATCGAAATAAAACTAAACGAAACTGGATCTACCCATTTGCAGGCGGAATGCGAACTCATTTTCCAGGAAGTCACGGGTTATCCGTTTTTTATATACGTAATTTATTTACACTTTACTGAGAGACATACTTTACTGAGAGACATTACTTCTGTAAATGAGTTTTAATAAAATACAGTATGATTTACGCTATGTTTATTAATTTTGATCATAGCAGAGATGAAATAAAATAATTGTGATTTATCTGCTTATTTATGCAAAATTGTAATGTGATACTGGTTTCAGTACATATTTCTGCCAATGCAAATTCTCCAATGTCCAATGAAAAAGCATAATTTGTATCACCTGACAAAGGGTTTTTGGCGTGGCATTCATTTACAGAAAAAGGTAGACAAAAAAAATTAGGACTTGTTTACATGGTGGTAGGGTAACCCTGGCAGAAGGGTTACCCTCGTCTATTGTGTTTGCGCGTTCCGTTTACATGCGCGCTAGGGTTATCCGAGGGGTAGGATTACTCTGTCAAATAGATAGGCTGACCCCAGCAGAAGGGCTATGTCTTCACTAGCTCTGAACAGAGGAGGTTGGACAGCTAATTAGGCGAATCTGGGCGAATCTCTCGACCAATCAGATTTCGCCATTTTCCTCATGCTCGCATGAAGCTTTTGGCATCGAAAATTTACATAGGGCTCATAAATATCGACTTTTTTGATATTGTTATGCACATTTTTTTGGAAATTTCACGCGATACTACATTTACAACAGTAAACCTACCCATTGGAACGGTATCTTGAAAGGTAAGCGTCATTTTCCAGTTTATTTTGACCTCTTACTTTAGGCGCTATGACGTCGCGATGTAATTTAATGG